TCATCACTGCAAATACCACAAACATCATCATACAAAATTGAACCCCCACCCCATTATGAGAGAAAACTTTCCCACAAAGTAAAATATTCTTAAAATACAACCCAAAGGGCTTGGGAACCACTGCTCTGAAGGATGCAGAATTTGGACACACCTAAAGAATCCATCTTTTAATTTCACAGTAAGCCCAAAACGTTATAACTCACTGAAAAGCAGACTTCCGTGCACCAATTTAAGACACTTGGCAAAGTACAGCATCCATTTTGGAGAAAGAGTGACCCATATCCTGTTCTTAAGGCTGAGACGATGGAAACTTATTCTCTAGACTAAGAAATTGAAAGCTAAATATTTAGGACACGGTAAATCCTAAGTGCTTCAAATGGAAGGCAGCTGGATCTCTTAAGCACTTTAACAAGGCAAATGTGCTTCTGTTTCAGATCCTTACTGATTAAGAAATAATGTTCTGAAAAGGCTTCCTTGTTCATTTTATTACAATACTGAATATTTCATGTATTGTTAAAAAGGCAAAAAAGAAAAAAGTTATATATAAAACCAGCCAAGTTAAAAAATAAATGAGGATGCCCATTATCATTCCTACAGCAACCTTAAAGCTTTACTCATGTAAAATAGGAAAGGCAAAAACGACAAAACTCAAGCTCTAAAGCCGATGACATAACTTGAACTTTTTATTATGCTAAAACTGTATTCATGCTAGAACACACAACCCCTCTGATAAGCAGTTACATTTTAATCATTTTCCTATGTGAGGCTGTAAGGTAGAGCAAACAGGTTTTCCTTTGCACAAACCTTGAAATACCATCATGCATAAACCAGGGATGATTTCAGACTGTGGGGCTGGAGTGGCGTTGAGTGTGTGCAGCTATATACCACCGAAAAACTGGGCCACATTAGCTAAAGCCGCTGGTTGATAAGCAGCATATTGCTGTATTTAACCAATCACACTGTGTTGCTCTAAAGACCTGGATGCTGCAGCTGCTTTCTGGGACTTTATTTGGCCTAGAGCAGATTTTCACACATTTCGTAAAGAGGTGAACAGTCATGCAATGTCTGCACAGCACCATGGACACCCAGGCAGAGTAGTCAGACATGTCACACACATATATATATATATATATATATATATATATATAAAAAGGATGGGTAAAAGCAGTTTTTCTGCAATTGCATGTATACATCTTATCAGGATCGGTACAAAATGTGATTCTGAAGCATCAAGCAACCATACTGGAACTGAGAAAATAAAGGTGCTCAATGGTAGAAAGGCTTCGTGAAGGAATGTGTGGATGGTAGATGGCAGGTTATTATCAGGGGACAGACAATTGATCCACTTGTCAGAGACTTTGAGAGATTGTTCAACACCCGTGTCCTAGATACAGCGAGGAGGGAAAAAAAAAAGACTCAAATTGGAAAGAGAGGGAGGTGGAGGGACAGAAAGAGAACCTGACAGCAGAGGAAGAAAACGAGAAAGTTTTGACGAGGGAGCAGAAAGGGGCATTAGAACGGATCAGGAAACTATGACGGCAATGTCGAGGAAGCGCAAGAGTGCAGAGGGATGGTAAGTGGGTGGATATGAGTAAACAGCAGTGGAAGACTGACAGAAATCTGGGGTAGACAGAGAAGATTAATGATGAAAAGAGGAGAAGGAGAGGGGGAGGGGAAGTGATGAAAGCATGATGATCTTGAGGAAAGGATGCCATGAGGACGACTTGACCTGAGAGAGGAGCGATGGGGACAGGGGGTGCAGAGTGGTGAAATGAAAAGAAAAGTGGTGATGATGAGCAGCTGAAAACTGGAGAATAAGGGGAAGGGAGGGAATATAATAGAGACAGCAGCTCAACAGAGAAAGGGAGAGAAGGAGAGAATGTGTGTGTGTGTGTCCTGGAAATATCAGCATGAGATAAGAGGAGAATAAAGCCCGCTCACAGTCAGCTCTGGGTAAAAAGATTTCGACTTTCTCCCACTTCCAGAAATAACTCTGTCATCTGTCTCATGGCTTTGGTCCTGATACAGCTGTAAACCTAAGCTACACGCCGAATCTCAATGGTAAATACAAAGTCAAGTCCCATTTATTGATGTCAAGCCCACCAAGAGACATTGTATGTCTTCTGTTTGACAGCACAATAACTGAATAGTCTTTGACTGGAGGCAAAATTTCTATTTAGATTTAAATCAAGAGAAGTTAAAAGAAGCTTGAAAGGATTTGCAAATTGTGTTCGAGGCAAACATGACTAGTTTTTAGTCTAAAATGAACAATTAAGAGCACAAAATATTGATATTTTATAATATAATGTTGCACTAAAATGGTGTTCAGGATTTTTAACAGTTTTGTGAGACGTTCAATAGCTACTGCTTTAAATAATTACCACTGACTGATCAGGATTAATGGATTTGTTTCTAATCTACAGCGTTTTGATAATTACAATGTAATGGAGGAGGCAACAAGAATAAGGGTGCTTATTTTTTTAGCTGTTACCTGATGAAGTAATGTGAGACAACTATTGAGAAAAAGTTTCTTAAAGTTTTTAAGAAAAAAAATCTGTTACTAAAAAATATTGCTACAATTGTTCCAAAACTGTTCAGCTAAGGTTTTTTATGAGGGTTGTCCCAACACAGCTCGGTCACTTCTGATCCGATTCTATTACCGCAGCTTTGAGTATTGGCCAAAACCGATATTGATCCAATACGATATCATACATACTTTTATTACTTATTTTGAAGTGTGTAATGTTAGAAAAGGCTTGATCAAAGAACAATAGTCAACAACAATAGGCATGAGAGCAATGAAGCCATTTATTATCAATCAATGGGTCTACATGGGGGATATAAGAGCTGCTGAATAGAAATGCTGGGACTGACTAAATGCTGGAGTTTTATACGGAAGAGTAATCCGATACTTGTTCTTTGGCTGATATATGAAATCAATATTGGATCAGGACACTGCAAGTTCTTATGATCCAATTTTGAAAGAAAACAGAACCAATAACGAAAGTAACATTACTAAATCCTCTTAATGCTGACATCAAGTAAAAATGTAAACTAACCTCTTTTAAGGCAATAATACTCGGATAATCAGCCTATATTTGTAACAGCGATATCTTAGTGTAAATCTCAATCAGCCTGGTGCAAGCTCCTAAAAGCTGAGCTTTTTTTCAGCGTTGAAGTTGCTCTGCATTTTTCCCCACCACAGCTTTCCAAATCAATGTCTGAATGTGTGAGAAGACTGCACACAACAAACGAAAGTAGACTCTGCCAGAGGCTTAGTGCCCAGTGTCCTCAGTTCCATATGAGCCCTGATATGAAGAAAAGCAGCTGAATTAAATTAGATTCCTCAGGGTTGAAACACACTGAAATGGCACCAAGGATGGCGCTACGCCCCAGTCAGTTTTATTACAAGAAATGAAACTTCTCTTCATCTGAAGACCCATTACTGCTGTACTTAAGGAGACAAACAGTTATATACTTTTTAATATTCATTGGTGTGGAAGAATTTTCAAAGCTCAAGCAAGAATAGTCAAAGGCTTTATTTATAACCGCTGTCTGCATGAAAGAGGCATTTGCAGCACAAAGCTTTGGCTCCTTAACGGGAGATGTTGTTTGATGTAAAAAAAAAAAATAAAACACCCAAGTATTTTTAAAGACAAAGATGTCAACTGTTTTCCAAATACTGTTGTAATACGACAAGAGTCAATAACTTTAATTTAGGCTTTTTCTATCTACTTAGCTATAACACATTAATACAATGTTTGTAATATTATGGTATATGGATTGGGTTTTTGTCCTCAAGGTACAGGCATGTTTTAGATGTACAATTCTGAAAATATTATTGCAACACAGAGCTAAAAAAAAAAAAAAAAAATAGGAAAATCACAGAGACGCATCTTTAGTTTCACATTCCCAGCTGAACCTTCTGAAAGCTCACACAGTCTGTCATCTTATCGGTTCGATTTGTATCGATGTGCAAGACAAGAATGACCCGTAAAGGTTCATTCATGGGTTTGTTTGCTGAAGGGGTGAAACAATTAAATGGATTAATTGATTATCCAAATAATTGCCAATTTAGAAATCGATTAATCATTAACTGGTGTATACAGACTCAAAATGGGTAATTTCATGATATATACAGCATTGAAGATCTTCATCTATAAATAGGTTTTTAAGCCCAAACTCCCCAAGCGGCCTAGTTTTAGCTTCACCTGGTTCTGACTTATGCTGTTATTGCATTTTAGCCAATGAAATATTTTATTTAAAAAATAAATTTAATTATACATTAATTTTCACCTTTTAATGTATTCCTGATGATGTGTAAAAAAGGCTTAAGTGGTTCAATGAAAAATCTGTAAAATGTGCCATTTTTTATACGATTAAGTGATTAATCATCAGAATAATCAAAAGCTTAATCAATTACTAAAATAATCATTAGTTCCAATCCTTGTTTATTATGGTACAACAATCTTAGAGGGGCTACAGATTAAGCAAATTTGCTTAAATATTTAAATTTGTATATTGCTAAAATGTTGTGATGATCCTACAGATTTATACCTTTTAATGATGTTAAATAAAAAGTTAAACGCAGCATTGTTTTCAAAAGATGGCAGAATTTTACTCATCTGCCCCCTGGATTCTTATTTCCAGCCACTAATATTCATATATTCACGTTCTGACTGAACAACGTTAACCGGAGTTATTCCTCTCTGTCCCATCAGGCGGAAATTTCCCACTGATTAAGCAAACAAAGCATGATTAAAGATCCGAAACTGAGCCTGCTGATTATTAAATCATTCAAGTTTCTAGGAATGTCATTATGCAGCATGTCTTCTGTCAACCACAACAGGCAGAGTCCTCCCACTGTGGCTGTGACTCACTGCAGAGCACCATCCTGTCCTGAGGGTGCAGTCGCACATCGAGCTGGCTGCAGCCACAGTTAAACAAGAGATAAGCGGCTTGCCCTGAGGCCATCTGGCCAAATAGGAGGGGAGATGTACCTGGAGCGCTGAACGAACGCACGGAGGTAGATCTGGTCTTGTCATGGACACGACTCAGGCTGCAACCTTTGGGCACGCTCCAGGACGCGGTGCTGACCCTGCTGTCCTTCTCCTCGGCCGTATCGTAGACCTCGACGTGGGGAGCGCGCTCAGTCAGGTTTTTGCTGTAGTGACTCAAACCGTATTGGGCGATCTGGATGGCATAGAAGTAACCCTGAGGGCCCCATTGGGTGGAGAGTGGCACGCCTGAGCGGAAGAGAAAAAACTTGATTTTAAATATACATTTCATTCGCAGTATTTCTCGATTTAGATTCAACTTACACAAGCAGAGAAAAAAAAAAAAAAAAAAAAATTTAACCCGATACTATGTCGTCAAATTTTGAACAAGAAAAAGGTCACGCTAAATAGCAAGACAGAAAACCCCCCAAAACAAAACAAAACAAACAAAACCAATGAAATAAACCAGTGAGAGCAAACTATCAAAAAATGTTGGGAAATTTAAGCTAATCTGCTGCATTTCACTGCAGGCTGTCCCCAGCTGACAGAAATAGCTCAGCCAGGAGAATTACTGATGAACAGATAGCTCACTTTGAGACCTTGTGACAAGCTGGATGCATGTGCCACCGAAGCCCATACAGTTAAGAAGAGGGTCATAAACTTCAATTTGGGATGGAAATGTTTCACCCCCTTCATGACAACCATTGTTGTTCCTCCTTCAGTTTCCTTTGTGGCACATTTTGAAAGAAAATCATATTTCACAAGCATCTCTTGGGGGGGGGGGGGCACAAAAAAATGTTCATGCTTACATAAAAAAAATTGCTTCCTCTGGTTTTCCGGTTAATGCTGACAAAAGCTCATAAACCAATCCAATTAAACTTTGGAGATTCTGTTTAGATGATGCTTGTCCAGACTAAGAAAAAAAAAACACAAAACCATGACAACTAGCTGCAAATTATATCCAGTTTACAGTAAAAGCAGATCATTTTATGGACTATGGGGTGAAACATTAGTGTGAGAGGTTGTGCAGAATCAATTCCTAACTCCAGACTGTCAGCAGCATTTAATAGCAGCAGCAGACGATTCCACACCATTTTCTGCTACTCTCTGCGATGTTTTTGTTGCAGACCTCCAGTTACATTTCCTCCAATTCAAATCACCAATTATGTGCAAGAGAGGGATTCCGCCCCCCTTTCAGCAGTCACAATGACATAGACGTTTCCATCACTCATGTGAGCTGTATCTCATCAGATCAGGTGGAGCAGTGCTTCTTTTTTTTCTTTTAATTCAGCACTCAGTTGCCATTCCTAGCTGCTAACTCATCTGTATCTTTTATATTATGAGGAAAATGATATAATTATAATTTATCTGAATGCCACATCTATGCGTTTTCATTTGTGATTTTGGTTACTTGGAGTAAATAGATTTTAAGCTTACGCTTAGACACACAAACGCACATCGGGGGCCGTTGGAGCGCATCTGTAGTGAGATTATCTCAAACCTGACTGAGTATTTATTTGTGTGATTGAAGTTGACGGGAAAGAGCGAGAACACATATGCATGCAGATTCACATCGCACTTAGTTCCATCCCCATGGCAGACTTTCCTCTCCGCCTGTCTTGCTGCTGGCATCTCCCTCAACAACTTAAGTCAAATGGCTGTCAAATCATAACACAGCAGCATGGAGCTGCACTGAAGAGAAGTAATCCGTGTGAAATTGACTGTTAAAAGTGTGCGCATATTTTTGCGACTTTCCTGGAAATATGACTACTATTTTTCAGGGTGCTAATCCAGACAATTTACAGGTGCATCTCGATAAATTTGAATATCATCAAAAAGTTAACTTATTTCAGAAAACAAATCAAAACAAAAACAAAGTGAGGCTCAGCAGTTATGCAAAACTGCAGATTCTCAAAACATTAAAAACACGACAGAGAACAACGAAGCAGAAGTGGTCCATCAGAGCCTACAACATTACGATGAGGACTGCTGACTCAACAGTTGTCCAGGAAACAGTCGTCAAGTGCTGTATCCAAACACATTAATAGAAAGTTGAGTGGACGAAAAAACAAAATGGTGAACAAGTAGCAGGGATCTTATCTGAGCAATGAATAAAAGCTTAGAGATTTAGCTCAGTAATCCATATGAAAAATAAATGCCTTTCATTTTCACGTAAAGAACACCTTAGCACCACAGCAGAGCCACAGCCTAATTACCTCCATGCCATGTTGCACCGATGCAATATTTAATGTGAAATCTTGTGCAGTAAGTGGCCATACTTTTCACTGACATTTCTAACGTGACGATCCTTTATTGGGTGTTAAATTGTCACTTTATCAAGCACCAGAAAGTGATTGTATAAAATGACACTTTTGTTATAAGAGATGGTTACCATGTGTATTTTTTTTAATACACCTGCATTCATTTTAATGGTTCATCAGTAAACAAGTTATGCAGAGATTCAAAGACTGCTGACAATGCAACATTCTAAAACATTTTTTTTTTCTTACACTTACATTTATGTGATATAATTTTCTTCTAATTGGTTGCTTAAGCTTGAAATAACTGTACCATCTGGGAGAATATCCAGTGCCAGATGCTGACTGGTCATTACAACAATTAGCGCATGTGGCTGAGGGTCTTGTTAAATAACTTTGCAGTAGGCAGTGATGCACACTGGGAGGAAAATACTCCCATGACCTTCATTAAACCCTGTGGTACCTCTGTGACAAGTTAATTAATAGACTGCTGCTTCCACCTCTGAAATTAAACTAAGTTAAGAAGAAGTGTGTATGTTTGCACATGTGAATGTTAAATAGCCAAGTGGCCTTGGGCAATATTAATAGATCTTTTAAAGTGGTTGTATAGAAATGTAAATGTGTCTCATCTATTTCAAATGGTAGAAATATTAGCGGAATAGGAAACAAGAATCAATGTTGAGCCCAGAGGTTTGCTTCAATTCTTTATGACCCATTTCCACGATACACACACATGTTCACAGCGAGTGGTCATCTTCCTGCAGCACAGGAAGGATTGTGTAAATTGTCCTTGTGCAATTGGTACAGCTCAGACATAAATGTAGGAAGTTGTGATGTGCAAGAGCTACAGACCAAATTATTCAAGGCATTCTTCAATGAAAAAGTACAAACACATGACCCAAATATAAGATGTAAGGCTCTTATAATTAAAGCTAAAACTTTACTTAAAGCTGCAGTATGTAACTTTTATATAAATATTGTTTTACATATTTGCTGAAACTGTCACTATGTGACAGTATGGTACGAGACAGATAATCTGTGAATGTTTTAAAAGAATAAATAAAGGTCCTCTGCTTTCTTCTGCTGCTCCCAATATAGCCAGGAGGAGAGTCTTAGCGCTGTCAATCATGTCCACGTGTATGCCTTTGTTGTTGAGTTAGATACTAAAATGCATTATCTTTGAGCTTAAGGAGGTAGCTTGTTTCTAGCAAAATTATCTCTGCAGAAGCTAGCTAGTACATCCAGATGAGCTAATATAAGAGCATGAACACATATTGATGACCATATGTTAGCAAAAACTAATAAATGTATGAAATGAACAATTAAACTGTTTATATGATCAGATTAACTTGACTGTTTTATCCTGAATCAAATACACGTATTTGTTTTGTAATGTCCAACTCGTATAGCCATTTAATTCAGTGCAAATTCAATCCACTTTTAATGCAAAATGACATAAAAAGTGTCATTTTCTGAATGACAACACATGACAACCAACATTCATGACGACTCCTTCATGCTCATGACAGGTGGTATGTAATGCTTATGACATGTCAGGCTTATGCACACCCCTTTAAATAAAGGGCCACCGCATTAGCCAATTAATATTTGGTCATATTTTGTGCTAAGCTAACAGGTTTTTATATGGCATCAAAGTCTTGACTTGCATCTTCTCTTATGTAGCAACTAGTATTTTATATCCTGTTTCAAGATTCTAAATTCTGTACAAACATTGAAATTCAATCATGTAAATGACAAAAAATAATAAAAGTCTAAGAAAGTCATTTAACTCCTAACTACTTCTACACTTTCTGGCTGTTTCATTCATCAGACACTGCTAGTCAGAGGTCAAAACGCTGTCCTAGTTTTAACCTTTCTGTAGTTAAACATGTTGGCAGGACATGGTGTAAGAGCACCTGATTGAAGTCTACCATTGTTAATTTTATCCCTGTTTGCAAACCCTTATAAAAAGGTTCTTACTTTTTCACATGGCTTCAGTGTTAACTGTGTTCTTCAATTAGCCAAAGTAAAACCAAGCAAAATGAATAATGCATCTTAGCAAAATTAAAACCCATTCGGTGGTGTTGCTTTTGTTTTACAAACACTGAAAGCACCTCGGCTTGTCACAAAGGTCTGAAATTTACACACACACGCAAAGACAATGCAAACATTAAGTCACAAGATTGTAAGATATACGAGTATATGTGTACCAATAAGGCAATTGTGTGCCTTATTGGTAGCTCTAGCCATTTCGTGATAAAAGAAAAATAATGAATATCTATTTTGCAATTTCAGCTAAGTGTACCGGGCCACTTCTTCATGCAAGCAAGAAGGAGAACTATATTGATGACCATGTGGTTTCAACTAATAGCCTTTTAAAATGAGCTATTGATCCTTCCTGGCAATTATTTTAAAAGGAACCAAAAAAAAAAAAAGAAAAGAAAAAAAACCACACACAACTCTGATAAGAAACTAAGAGTGGACTCTCAGACTTATACCCAGGTATCTGTCAAAAGATAAACCCCGACATAGTCTTGATAAGAAAAGCAAACATTTTAATGGAAATTAAACCGTTTCCATTTGGTAGTTACTTAAATTTGTGGGTCACTTTTTCGTTAAGAACAGACTCTTGATATTAACACAGCTATCTGACATTTCCTGTGGAAAACAGGGCAACTATTTTACCTTTACAGGTATGCAAAAAGACAGGCACAAAGTTTAGGAAGTTTAAGGTTGTTCACAAACTTTAAAAACGTTGCTGTGGACCATATAATTAAAATCTCCTTACCCTCAACTCCACTGATGCATTTGACACGATCGCGGACCTCCACATTGTATCCCTCAAAGGACATGAAGACTCCTTCGGGGTGGTAGGGCTCACGCTGGGCGTAGACCTTGGAGTAGCTGTGCTGAAACTCGAAGCGATCATAGCCATCATATTGCACCACCTTGCCGTACACTTCAAAGTATTTTTCCACCCAACTGAAGGGCAGGTAGATCTCCCCTCCCTCTCGCCTGCCTTTGATAGTGGACTCATCGTTGATGAAGCAGTCAATTTCTTCATATTTGATCCCACCAACAGCGCCAACAACAGGTGGAGGCTCGGGGGGTTGTGGAGGTTGCTGCTGGCTGCTGCTGATCTTTGCACTTGGAACCACAAAGGCGGCCCGGGGCAGGAAACGGATGGAGATGTCACGGGAGCAGCGGTTCCATAGCAGCACCGTTATGAGTGTGAAGAGGGCGCATATGACTATGAGCGTCTTGTAGTTCACCCGTGCAGCCAGGCAGCGCATGGTCACAACCTGCCCACATAAAACAAACGCAAATAAAGTGTCAAAAGCATGAGCAAATGATAGTGTTCCCTTTGCATTGGGGTAAATAAGCTTTCTTGAGACCTGTTGTGAAAAATCTGAAGTTCAGCTGTCTGACAAAAGACAGCCTTATGTTTTACCTCATTGCAAAAAGATGGACGAAATATACATTTTGTAACTGTCAAATTAGGAGTTGGTTAAAATGGCAGCTATGTATGTGACACAAACAAAAGGTACTTCCAAAAAAATGTCTTGGTTTTCATGCAGATGTTTCTTGGCCAATGTAAAATGAGTCTTTGTTCTTTTTAAAATCAGTGGAACTCATAAATCCCGACTATTCCTCCAATCTTTTACTGCTGGATCACGAACACTGACCTCGAAGTCTGTTTGGTTTTTGAGATGTTTTCATCTTTCAGTTGGTGGGTTACCAGTTCGATTCCCAGCTGCATTAAAAATGAAGTTGATTTTTGTCTGATTTTAGAATTCGTTTGATCTGAAAAACATAAGTTTCAAAAGCAGAAGAAATCTGTAAAAGAGCAAGCACTTTTTAATTGCACTTTAAACTGTTGTGGTATTTTGTAAAAGTGTTTGGGGGAAAATGTGAACTACATATGTGTCAGGAACACACAAGGACTAAATTAGGCCACACATAGTGCGAGTAAAATTGTGCGTTCTGAACAAAAACAAAAAATTGCCATGTGGCTCTGACGGTCTTTTGTCGCAAACAAGAAGTTCTGGTTTGTGCTTTGATTTCCGGAGTCCGAAAGCCTCTCATTAACTTTGACAAAAACACTAAGGAAGCTGACATCTCTGACAGCTTTTCATGCATATCTTTTGTGTTTCAATCACTGTTGTTCCTGACAGTAAGTAACAATTTACTAAGACTAATGTACAATTTAGAGTCGAGTTTTCCCACATTCCTGCTTTCCTTCAGTTGGAGCTACAAAAGGTCAAACCATGATGAGAAAGGTGCAAGGAGGAGGGAGTGTCGAGATTTATCAACCAGAACATTTAAATCTGATTAATTGGGAGCTTGAAACAAGGAGTATTTCTTTATAAGTCAGCTAGCAAACCATAAGAGCTTTAAAAATACACATAAGAAATATAGAAGACTATAGATAATAGACATGCACACATTGTAATGCAGAACGCTGTATTTGAAACCAGTTTTAGCAATCGAAAACAATGTTTAAGCTTAGAGGAGTTGATCAGAATATTTTCGGAATCAAACTAAATACATCCAATGCAATATATAATTTACAGCAAGTATGGACAACACTACTCTTAAACTAAAAAGCTGCCCCCCTTCGAGAGTTTCATTTTTACGGTTAAGACTGTAACGCAAATGCCAAGTGATGGTTTTGTTTGTTATTTTAATGTTGCTGCCATTAAACTTTAGGACACCAAGTCTCTGACCTGTTCAGTCAATATTCTATCTGCAGATCAAACCGAATCTAAACCCAATTACCCTTTCTAAAAAGGTTTACGCCATCACTGATGTTTTGCATTGACATTTCTGAAACAATTCTTGAGACTTTATTTTTTTATTTTTAAATAAGCCTGCTTTAATGTCACCACCACCGTGTCATCATTTACATTCTGCGTCGAACATCCATTCCCAAATAAATACACCACGCGGTGGAATATTGTAATTAATCAGTGTGTTAATATTTGGTATTGAAAGAGCTTTAATTGCAGCACACAAAGCAGACATGTTTCAGGCCCTATTGTGAATCAGGATTCATGTTTCTCTTTGACATTTTCACCAAGTAAACAAGAAATCAATGCACAACCTTTAGCTTCCTCCTCCACACTAATTACAGCTTACTGCCCACAGAATTTACTGTTAAAGAGATGACCGAGGAGGGAGAGGGGAAAATCATTACTATCCAAGTTCATTTCACTGCCTCATCTTAAATGGGACGCTGCTGAGAATGGGTGTGATTAATGTACAATAATTTTGGCAATAGTAATCCACTTTTACAATGCAAAGTTGAGTCACTGTGCAAGAGGCACCTGGAACAATGTTAATTTATGAAGTGGCTCCAATCAACGAGGGAGGTGTACACAGTGTTTTGAATAGCAAACACTGTCAGAGTACAAATTCAACAAAGCATAATGCAGAAGTCATATCAAATTAGAATTGCACCTTCTGCTGCCATGAACAAACACGTCTCATCTCCTCTGCCTGATCAATTACTGAAACGCGTATTATTGACATTTGGGGACGCTACAGCTCAGTGCAGTGATGAAACGCAAAACTGCTCACAGCTCCAACACTAGTAGAAAAATGCAAGTAAAAAAAACAACAACAAAAAAAAACCCCACACAGACTGCACCTTGAAAGATAAGTAGGACTGGTCTTGACAAGCAACTCTCTATAAATGATAGTCTCTTTTTATAGCCCTCTGCTGCTCCCCGTTTGAAATACACAGGCTTAGGTACAGAAGCATAAAAAGTATCCCATCACCTCCCTCTCTGTGGACACAAATCAAAAACGATGTCCTGTTTCAGAGATGCAAATTAGATGTTTTCTTTTGTAAATGAAAAGGTAAGGGCAAAGAGACAGCTCAACTTAAACTCCTGCCATTTGTGGCAATGCATTATTAAAACGACAGAAAAAAAAGTATGTATTCTGATTTTACCTTAGAAACCACATCCTCAAATTCTTCCAAAATTTATTAAATTGTGAAATCAATATTGCTCTTTTTAGATAACACAATGAGGTATAAAACTCTGTAGTTGCATTTAACAAAGAACCCAGCAACTCACCAGCCACCTGCCCAATCAGGCTGAAGAACTGCTGAACATTTGTCAGAAAGTTGTTGGTGTCAAGAGCTCAGAGACAAATTCAAGGTGAGGACAGCAGCTACAGGACTATGAAGAAACACCTAAAGTCAGAGATCCCAGAGGTTCTTTCTGGAAAGATTAAACGAAAGAGAAACTTGACTGAGTAGATGGATGAACCTGTGCAGGTCACTAACGGATAAAAGGAGTGAATCAAGCTGGAGATGTGTGGGTGAGGCGCTGGTGTGAGCCGGTGTTGTCAGGAGATCAGTCAGACCTTTTTAAAGTAGATGATGAGCAGGAAACTATTTCCTTAACCTGTTTCTAAAAGCGAGCGCGTCAAAGCTGCACTGTAAATTTGAAAAGGTCTCGTATGTCTGGGAAGTTCTTGCTTTGCATAAAAGACTGTTTACCGCAGCACCACACGACAGAAGGACATTTAGAAGCCGCTTCATTTGAATATGTTATGGATTTGGAACATTTAGTCTGACCAGCATCACAGGCCGTCAGCATCTAAACTGCTGGTTATTATGCTTAGACAGCTTTCAAAGGTTAATTTGTCATTTTACTGTCAGAATGATTTTTTGTTTTTATCATTTGCAATCTGATTAAAGAAGTGGTTTTAATAGTAAAAAAAAAAAAAAATGTTTTTCCTCACAGCCAGAGAAAAACCCTCCTCAGAGTCTCATCATTAATGTTCTGTCCACACTAGGCCTGGATAGTTTGCAAAACATATTTTTTTGGTCCATTTGTACCTCCAGTCGCACAAAAAAGAGGAAACCTTGTTTGTTTTTTTTTAAAATATGAGCTGCAATTGTTTTGGGGAAATTGTTAGCCTTCAGCTGCTTTGCTGTTTTGTATCTTCCCTTAAATTGGGACGTAGTTGATAGAGGAAAGGTTTATTGGAATTTCAATATATATATTTTTTTTTTTGCTAGTTGATTTCAAGTTTCATGAATTTCGGCTTTGCATACCAAAATAATATTTTAATATGTTTTTAATAGAGTTTTTCTAGGGTAGATGTTCAGAGATGGCTGTTTCAAAGATACTAAAAATCCTAGAGAGTTGGATACATGGTATATGTCAGTGCAAAAACAGGAAAGATAAGAAATCACAGATTTATTGCAACTAATATAGCCAGAGCAATGTTAATATCACAATTGCATGATTTACTAATGCTGTGCAGCCATTGCAGAGAAACTGGGATACATTGTGATTTGTGTAGTTGAAGTTTCTCCTTGCAATTCAATTTTCCATCAAATAAAAGAGAGAGCGTGTCCAAGACATACCGGATGAGACTTTTCCAGTGATGCAATGAAAGACAGAGATGAGATGTTTATTGGTTTTACTGTGCCAATCTGTGCTTCAGCTATTGAAAGTGAATAATTGTATTATTTGGAAGGTAAATTCCCTTTGTATTTGGGATAATTGACCAAAACATGACTGGCACACTAAATTAACAAATGGTGTCATCTCTGAGAACATTACCGGCCTCTATAATTTGGCACCTTACCCCACACATTCATCTGTGACTCAAACTGATCATTCTGGATCTGAATAATTTATTTAAAAAACAAAGCTATCTCTCCTGTGTTGCTGTTACTTAATCCGTGCCTAAAGGAAAATAATTTCCCAAATATACAACTTAAGAAGAGTGCTGTCATCTTCTTTTACATCATACATGTAATGAAATGTTACTCGATTACTCTCCTCTACATTCCATTTGCACAAATTGAGTCATTTGTAAATCACATTTGCTGCTAAGCAGTAGTTAATTACAAAGCAAACAGCATTTCTGCAGCTTGTTACATAGAGTGCTGCATTGTCCCCGATGTATTTTGACCCAGATTTATGTGCATCTATTGGGAGGATGTTCACATCCGAAAAACAAGAGCCTTGGCGGATTCCTGAAAGGCTCCGAATGATTTGTGTTTGTCTTCAGAACTAGAAAATAAATGACTGTCCTTGCTCTGCAGAAAGGACGGCAGTGGTGCATTATTGTCATGTTGGGGAGGAAGTCAGAGATCCCTTAGAATACAGATTAAACAAATTTAGCTGTTTACAGAACATCCTGTACCAAGGGCAAAATCATTTCTAATAAATACACTGCCACAATCTTACTAATATTTACCAATTTGTTTTAGCTTTTAGGGCATATCAACTCTAATCAGACAAAACGTTTAGAAAGTTCTATCACTGCCATT